GGATCGGTGCGCATATATAAAATATGACTGAATAATATAAAACAGAAGGCGATACATCAAAGCGGATTATACAATTTATTTTTGCTTTTATTTCTCGGTTGGGGATTCGTTTTCGTTTTTGTGTTCGTTTTTGTATCTCTTGTATTCTTTGGCTTTTGGGTTTGTTTGGCTGTTCTCAAAATATATTTCTTCATTTTTATTTTATTTATTTACTTTCCACGAAGATTGTGTATACAAAAGAATACAAAAATATAAAATGCAACAGATGCAGCTGGAGATACCGAAAAAGTTACAGTCATGCTGGGCCACATAATAAATTGTATTATTTATATTATTTTATATAATGCAACCCCGAGATGTTAGCCGCGGGAATCCGAGAAACACAAAAGTATCTTTGAGATACCCACAGCGGAAGCTGTGAGGTCTTTCATCTGAGAGTGACGAGTGTAATGACTTTTGTCGATTGGGTTAAGTGGCTTGTTGGCTTCCTTAGCACACAGATACTTACACTCACACACACACTTGCCGGCTTCGAGATGTGAGATTCCTTTTTCGAGCTGTGTGCATCTTTTTCAATTTTTATGCACGCCACTCGCTCCCTTTTTCCTGATTCCTCACCTTTTTTCTGTGTTTTGTTCAAGTAGTTTGAATGTGGCACGTTTAGCCGTTTCCCCCCTCCCCACACCTTTCGGTAATTTGTCTGCAACGTTTTTTGTGGCAGCTCGGGCTGCAGTTTTTGCCGGCTGACAAAAAAAAAAATACAAGCGAAAGGTAAGCGACACACGCTAATCATGAGTGTGAGATTCTCGCAGATTCTCTCCCTTTTTCTCTGGTTTTTCTCCCCCTTTTCACTCTGTGGTTTGGCCCTCATCTGCGGACTAATTGAGTGGGAAAGTGGCCGGGAAATCGAAAGGGAAAAGGCTGCGGGATGTGCCATTGATCATAATCAGCAGAATATTGTATCTCAATTGTTGTCTTGGGCTTAAACATTTCTAAACCGGTTTTCTTTTGGGTTAAGCATTTCATATAAATTATTTTCTTACTTCAAAGACAGTAAACAGTTTTCAAACTGAAGTTTTTTACCCATTAAATCTTAAAAAATTTTATAAATATTGTTGGTAAAAAAAAAATACACCAAAAATGTTTGTATCTTAAGTATCAAAATTTGAAGAAGACTTTTCTACAAGTAAAATTGCTTACCTTGTAAAAGTGTATTCAATTACAAGCAAATTTTGCTATAAAAGATTCTCATGATATTACAGCCATAAGATAAGTTTCAATCGTCTTACTGTAAAATTATAAAAATCTAGACTTAAAAGAAAACCTAAAAATTTTCTACTTTTTTTTACATAAGAACGTCTACATTTTAAAAATATTTTTCTTGAAGCTAGAATAAAAGTACTTTCTTTGAAGGTAATTTACCTTTAAAATCATTCTTTTGTTCATAAAATTACTGACTTGAGAAAGAATGTATTTTCCCCTTAGATGAGTTTCAATCGTCTTATTGTGCCTAATAAAAACTTCCTCTGCGCCTACGCTCTGCAAAAAGTTCAGTGAACTGATCGAGAAGCGGTAGAGGAAACCAATAATAATATACAACCTCTAATGATGCACACTGCCACACACACACACACGCACATCTAAATGCGTTGGCAATAAAATATGAAAAACTGGAGAACAAAAAAAATGCGTAAAAGGAGAAAAAATGATTTTTAACAAAGGCGAAGGCAGACAAATAAAAGTGCAATTAATCACCAGAAAGCCATGGCCCAGACGGCCAGAACTGAGAATTGAGAATTGAGAACTGAGACTAAAAACCCTGGACCACGGCGACTGACACTTATCGGCTTTATCTGCTTATGTGAAGGGAGTGAAAAGGTGGGGTTAAATCGAAGGCGATGGAGATGCATTCACACAAACATATAAAAATATAAATATAAATGGAAAGGAATTATAAATATTAAAGAAGCTGGCGGAGCTGAGGATGCTGCCTGTCAATATTTGATTTTTATATATGGCATTGCCTTGATGCGATCGCCGCGAAGCAACGAAAAATGCATCAATTTTTAATAATAAATGAAATGTGTGAATAAACGTTGGTAAAATATGGCGGGGGATTGTTGTTGGGCGGGGGAAAACAATCGGAAAGGCAAACAGCAGGAAAGCATAAACACGGCCGGGCAACACTAATACCCAGGCAAACAAACAAAGATGCAGATACAAATGCCGCAGCGGATTCAGATGCAGATGCAGATGCCCGTGTAGATGCACATTTTCCAAAGAATTTCTAAGCACATAAAAAGCAAAGCAAACGGTCAGTTGGGAAAATATTTAAAAAAGCATAAAAACAAAATATTTATTGAAAAGAGACGCTAACGAGCCAACGCAGCGGCGTTGAGGCAAACAAACGGCATCGGCTTCAAAAATTGAACACATGAGCAGGCTAATGCGTATATACATATATAGTCGGCTATTTGATTAATGCACTCGAAAGCGACAATAAACACGGAACATGTCGAGAACGCAAGAAACTTAAGACAGAATAAGGAGTTGCGGTGGGATTTCCACAGCATCCACAAAGACAAACAAATATCGCATTCCGATTGATGTCGAAGTTGGCAACTTCGGGTTGGGATATGGCCAGAAACCGGGACTGAATGGAACTCCATTTCGCCGGAGATCGGGGTTCTTGAGTGAACGTCGTCGACGGCTATTGGATAAATAAATACAAATTTTTATTAAAGTGCGAATTCTGCGGTGAGCTGAGTTACTAATGCAGTCGAACTCGAACCGGTCGCTAAGTTTGCCCCCTGAAAGGAGCCTAGACTGACAGAAAATCTTGTATTTCAAATGAAAATGGCAACAGAAATTCTTTTACGCACCAGTTCGCGATAAAACTACTCTATTTGTTCTTGCTAAATTTATATATGCAATTTACGTTGCTATAAAATATATAACTTGTTGCCATAGTTTAGCAAATATAATGGTTACAATACATTATCAGATGTAAGCTTAAATGCTTTTTAGTATCATTTTCAACAGAAAATTATAAGATACCAAACGAAAAGGGTTTTAAAACAGTTTGGATATAAATATTGACTAACAAAAGAAAACAAGGTAACCTTTTCAATATTAAATATTGTTTTCTTTTATTCGATCCGTTTTAAATTTAAATCAACAGTAAATCTATAGATTGAAATTTTTTAATTTAAATAATATTATGCGATAATATACTAATAATCATATATTAATAGTTTCTGAATTTTTTAAAATTTTGATACAATGAGAAAGAAGTTTACAAGGTCTACAAATAACCTCAACATTTCTCCGTTCAGAAGTATTGCTATTTATTAATTAATTATTATTATTATTTAACCAAGCTGTATTTACTTTTTTAATTAAATCTAATTTTTGATAATTTTAGTTCAACCACAATAAGATGTAAAGTAAAATGTTTGGTCTTAAATGTAAAAAAAAATAAAGAGAACAATTTGCTAAAAACTCCAATTGAAATAAATTATTCTACAATATTCCCTCGTATAATTACCATATGACCCCCATATTTTCCCTGTGCAGATATCATTCGCCGTTGGCCTAATTGAAGCACACTTAGGGAACCACAACAAGTCACAAAATCACAAGATCACAGAATGCTCCATAGATCGAAATCAACCGCTGGCCACAAGAATTTCAATCACCTCTTGGTCACCAAAGCGTTCCAGTGAGTGCTCCCCGAGAACCTGGAACCCTGGAATCGGTGGCGGGGGGTCCGATCTGACCACTCTGGAGGGGGGCGGAAATATTTGGAACAAAACTCTGCGGGGGGAGAAAAGAGCGGACGGGGCGAAGAGAGCGAACAATGGGCGACGTGGAGCACGTGAATGCTGTCAATCATTCCAGAGAGAGAGTGGACAAAAGGGAAAGGTAAGGGGGGGCGAAAAATCTGTGGGACTGGAGCTCCACATTCCGCGCTGTGACGTCACAGCACGAGGCGAAAGGCCGCCGGCAGAATTTTGCAGCCGAAGAGCGGCGAACTGTAGATTGAAGATCGCCGAAAGGCGCGCGAATCGTGAATCAAAACAAACCGAGGGAAAAAAAATATCAGAGAGTAAAGCAAATGGGAGAGATATAGATGTCTATATAGTCTCTGAGCAAGAGCAAAGCAGCGCTGCGGCAGCGCAGTAGCAGCACGGCGGCAGCAAATGAGAGCTCTAAAACTCTCTTTGTAGAACCGTCTTTGAAAAATTGAAGAGTCTTTGGCAAAAGATGGTTCTCTTAAATTATTTTATAAACAATTTTTGAAAGACAAATCTTTTTCAATGCATATATCAATGTTGGTAATCTTATGAAATATATGAATGTTGTAAGCTTAAATAAATTGACATGCTAATCCCATAAGGCTTTATTTCAGGCCTTTGAAAATTTGACACTTGGCTATTTGCTCATCTAAGCAATTTGTTGTAATGTAAACAAATTGACAGATTTTAAGGCATTACACGTTCTGTTTATATTGCATTGCATTGTGGTTTAATGAAAGGAATTAAGCTAACTTATTTGAGTGTTGTAAATTATGCTTGGTTTTTAAGTATAGTGTTTTTTGTTTTGTTTTTTTTTTTTGTTTTTTTTCCATGTGATACGATGCTGTATAGATGGTATTTTTAATAAAAATTAAAACATTTTAAATTCCATAATTTTGTCTATATTTTTTCGGGGTGTAAGACCAAATTTAACATATGTATATATATTTTAACATATATATATTTTAAAAGCATTTTTCTAAAACGATATTAGGAATTTTATAAGTTTTATAGATGTTAATAAAAAATAAGAAAATGAATTCCATAATTCCTTGATTTTGGTTTTGGTTTCCTGGGTTATTTTTTTAATATTTTTTTTTTTTATATTTTTGCAGGTAAAATACCTATCAAAATTTATTGTCAAAATGTTGTCTTAGATTTATTGTTGTGTATATGTTTAAATACGGTTTTGATTCCACTCACCCTTTCCTCCTCTCGTATCATTTCGGCGATGCCGGGCTTGATCTCCATGTCATCGGCCAGAGACGATCCTCCGCCGGAGCCCACTCCTCCGCCCACGCCTCCGACCACGCCCACTCCCCCACCACCCACTCCACCACCACCATGGTGGTGCGGCGGTGGGGGCGGTAGGCGTGGCTCAGCGGGCGGTCCCGGTCCCAAACCGCTCAACTCCATGGCCGCAGCCATGGCGGCAGCGGGTCCCATTGGAAAACGCGATTCTCCAGCGGACGAGGGCGGATGATGTGAGGATCCAGATGACTGGATGGATGGATGTGGGGCAGGTGGTGCATGGTGGTGCGGGTGCAGGGGCAGGGGCAGGGGCAGGGGCAACGAGTGCTGACCCTGCTGCTGACCTTGCGACTGACCTTGCTGCTGACCTTGCTGGGGACTCTGCGAATGGGGTCGCGAGGATCGGGACATGGGTCCTGGCGTGGCAGCCGGCGAGGGCATGTCCAGTGCATGGATGGCGGTCTCCAGTCGCCGAGCCACCGCTGCCGCCGCTCCTGCACCACCGCTCAATGGCGGCTTCGGTGGTGGCGTCATCAGCGAGCAATCCCGCTGCCTTTCCCGCTCCTTTTGCTCCATCTCCAACCGCTCGGCGGCTATCAGACTGCTCAGCGGACTGGGCGGTGCAGGCGCATTGAAGATCGTGTCCGCCGAGGGCCAGCGTCGCTTTCTCACATTCCTGCCCTGCTGTCGCTCCAACGGGGAGAGTCTCAGCTCAGCGGGATCCCAGTCCGTGCGCAGTTTCTTCTCCGGTTGCATGAAGGCCAGCAGCTCCTCGGCCTCCCGTTCGTTTTCGGTGGCTCTGGAGCCGGAAGTGCCCTCCTTGGGCGAGGGCATTCGCTCGGAAGAAGCGGCCGCCGCCGCTGCCGTGGCCGCTTCCATGTGCGTCACATCCGCCAGGCCGCGTACCTTCAGCATCTCGGCTATCCTGAGGAGCGGACCGATCTGATCCTGGCTCACATTGATCTCGCCACGGTACATGAACTCCACGATGGCCTTGAGGTCCGACCAGTTGACATCCCTCATGATCACAATGGGATGCTGGCAGGGCGTTTCGGCCAATAGGGTTTGAAAGTAGGGCGAGCAGGCGGACAGGACCATTTTGTGGGCCTTCATGGAGCGACCATCGCAGGCCAGTGTCACATCCACGAAGCACTCGTTCTGCAGCAGCTGATCGAAGATGGTGGTCAGATTCGTCTGGTAGTTGTTCCAACGCAGGCAGAATTGCTGGGACGTGGAACTGGGCGACGCCACCGAAGAGGATCTGCCTTGTGGCGAACTAATAGGGGACGATCCATTTCCTCCTTGTCCTTGTCCTTGTACATCCTTATCCTCATCCTTCGAGGTGACAGGTGAAGTGCGATCCTCACTCTTCGTGCGCTTCTCCTCCTGCTGACTGGGCGAGTTGCGATTGCTTTTCGGTGAACCTGTGCCCGATCCCGAACCTTTGCGCTGCCTTTGGGTCACTGGTCCCTGGTCGGGCGCCACTGACAATTTCACATCCGCCTGCGCTGACGCCATTTTGTCTACAGCTGATCGTTGATCGTTAAAACGTTAAACGTTGGCACGCGTTACGTTACGTTACGTTACACGACTCGCTTCTCTTTACATGACGTTAAAAAAACAAAGCGTACGAAAAAATCGCGACAATTACGACGCTCAACTGAGAGTGGGCATGTACATGTAAGTAACTATGTGTGTGTGAGTTGCTATGTGTCTGTGTGTGTGTGTGTGTGTTTTACGTATTCGTTACGTTACGCGCACTACGTGGCCATTTGGCAATTAGCCCGCCTCGTTCTTTCAGTTCGTTTCGCTACTCGTCTCGTGTGTCGTGTTCAATTTGGTTTCAGTTCAGTTTTCAGTTTTCAGTTGCGTTCAGTGTTCAGTGTTCTGTGTGCTGTGTTCTATGGCTATATATGTGTTGGCCAACAAACAGGGCCAAAAGTCTTCTCAGCACGAGCGTCTGAATTAGACTGAAATCGTTTTGCACATTTTGATACGGAAAAACTCAAAACAAACTTAACACACGACGACTACGACGATGGCCACGAGACGATGTGGAAAACTGAGGGTCGCCGAGGGGCTGCCTACGTTCAACGTTGCTGTTGCAGCAACTGCTGCTGCTGCTGTTGCTATTGCTGCTGTTGCTGTTGCTGCCTTTTGCTGCTTTTTGTAGTTGTTGCTCTCAGGCTGCGACTGAGTTCGCGACGAAGTTGCGAATAGTTCGCGAAATGCGAGGCGAGGCGAGGCGATGCGAGTTCGCCAGTTTCTCCGCTCTGCCGGCGTTGTTGTGTGGCAAAGGAGGAAAATGCGACGGCGGCAGCGAAACGCGGCTGAGAACTGAGTGGCGAGTGTGTGGAGAATCGACATTCGAGAATGGAGCATTGCAGCACCGACGGCAGAGAAAATGAAATCGGCGAACTGTAGGCGCCAAAAAACGCCGGCAACAAACGGCAACAGCGTTTTTGTTGGCCACATTCCTTTGCTCCTGCGCTGCGTTTTGGCTCTCCTCGAACTCAAAGTTCCGATTCCGATTCGGAATCGGCTTTCGTCCTTCGTCCTTCGTCATCGGCTTTCGTCCTTCGTCCTTCGTACTCGCACTCGCACTCGTCCTCGTTCTCGGCCTCTCGCAATTGCAGCAACCCCCAAAAATTTTGGCGCTTTTGGCGCTGCTTTGGCGCTGGTGCACTACCACTACCACTACTGCGAAAAAGGATGCGTCGCTGCTGCAAGTGGCAAGTGGCAAGTGTGCGTGCGTGAGGAAACGGAAGTTGCCCCAAAATGCAGCGAAGAGCGAGCTTAGGCCTAATATTTTTCGGAGGCGCTGGGCAGGAGAGGGTGGGGTCCTGCCCCTCGGACCAGTACCACCGGTCAAAAAGTGAGGAACCAATTCCACGGGGTTCCTCGGGAATTGGCAAAGCGGCGAAAATATGGCTGATATTGGCAAGAAGTTTGCCGGTGATTTTTTGGGACTTTTCTTACATATAGTAAGATTTTTAAGAAATTTAATTTAAAAATGTAATTACAAAATGTTTTGAGATGATTTAAGATAATTAAAGTTCTCAATATAAAAATAAAATGTTTTTTTTATAATAAACTATAAAAAAGGGTTCATTAAAAAAAATATATGGGTTTGTTAAACCTTTCAATAGTTCATTTTGTTTTTTGAAGGATTTTGAGAAGAAAGTAAGTAGTTAATATATATAAAATCATTTATTAGTATTTATTAGTATTTGTTATTATTTTTTAGTATTTAGTAGTATAAATTATTTTTTTTTTAGTATTTATTATTACTAATTAATGCAAAAAGAGTTGTTCTTATTCTTGAAAAATGTTTAGATTTTTTGTTGATTTAAAAATAAAAAATCGAAAATAAAAATTTTAAAATTATTATAAGAAAGCGACAAATTTTCAAAATATATTTTCATAAGACTAACAAAACAGAGATCATTAAATCTTCAAATCTTCTCTTCCGAATCTCAAAGGCCCTTCATCTCTTTCTTCCTCACGCATATCTCACCCAACTGAGGAATAAAACTCGGCTGAAAGATGCTCCATTAATTAGTTCCGTTTGCTGGGGGTACAAGCACCCTACACCTACGCCCTACCGCCCCTCCCCCTGAACATTCACCCCACCCCGAGAAACTCTCTTCGGCCGACGCTCTCGGCGGCAGAGCAGTCGACGCCGCTGCCGACATCGCTGCTACTCGTGCATTGTAAACAAATGCTTAGGCGAAAAACAAGATGTGCGGCGAATTTGGTGAGTCGCTCTCTCTCTCTCTCTCGCTCACCAGAGGCACGACTCTTTTGCGCTTAAGAGACGTTTCTCTTTCTTTTGGCTGCACCTGCACTTTTCCACTATTTTTCCTCAATTTTCTCGCTCGTGCTGGTGGCGTGGTAAGGGGAGGGGTTTCTGGGGGGGTGTCCGGAAGGCAAAGGGGCGGGGGCGGGGCACTATCGTTTGAGACTGGTCAGCCTCGATTTTGCGCCTCTGTGTGCGAATTTCCCAATACATGTGTGTGGGCATTTTGATTATTTGTTTTTGCCTTGCGCATTTATAATATGCATAAAATAAAGAAATACAAATCTAGCGAAAATAAAATTCGCAAAAGTGCGAGCGAGACGAAGCTAGCTACCCGTCAAGGTGAGCGAGCGAGAGGGGAAGGGGGAGGGGGAACTCGACAGCCAGTCATAAATTATGCATAATTTTTTTCGTGACTGGCAAATGGCGGCTGGTCTCCCCAGTTGGTTACATTATAATAAACATCGGCCATGAATCGAAACGCGAAATAATGCAGGGGAAAAAATACGCGATCGGCAGGTATTTTCAGTATTCAGTATTCACCTGGCGACTCTGAATGAGATTTTTAATGCCTTTTATTCACTCATTTCCGGTGTGTTAATGCGGCTAAGTGATACTTTTGCTTATTAATGGCCAACCCTCAAAATAGTTTATCTGTTTTGTTGTTTCTCAATTATTTTAAAGATCAAATGCCTTTTTTTCTGTGAGAATATCTGGTGTTAATAAATTTATTGATTCAATCAAGTCTGCTTTTTATTTTGTTTAGTTAAATTGGCTGAGATACTGTTTCATCTTGAAATATATTTTTTTAAATTTTGTTTTGGAATATATATGTTAGTTTTTGAAGGATGCTTGGTCAACGAAGTTAAAAAGAATTGAGATTGGTATTAAAATACGCCTTAAATATTGAGTTATATTTCTTAATCTCTTGCAAGTTTCACAAAAACATGTGGAATGCGATAAATATGATAACCCACAATTATTTAATTTATTTTTTTTTTTAAGAAAAATACATACAAAACATTTTTGCATTGTATATTTATTTATTTATTTAGTAATGGCTTTTGCGTGTTCTTATAAAACAAGTCATGTTTGATGCAAAATCGATATTTTAAGTTTACCGACTTCAAATTGTCGTGTTTTTGACTTTTGGATATTTTCAATGTTCTCCGTGATGAGTAAAGTGCATTTTCATATTTCTCGTTATTTTCACCTACCAACTATCTTAATTTAGAGCCCAATGTGTTTGGCTTATGGCAACAAATGGATTGCAGCAAACCAAATTTGGATCAAACGCAGAAACATGAAAATGCATCACGCATTCTCTAAGTTGTTTGTTGTTGGTGGGCTCTATCTAGTGTGTGTGATGGGTGAAATGAGGGGGAAAGGCGAGGGAAAAGGGGGCACCGGAAAATTGGAAATGGAAAATGGGAAATGGCTGCTAGGCTCGCGACTGCAGAACGCGTTTATACGAAAATTTATGTATTTAACTGGTGACGACGACGCTGACGAGCAAAACGATGACGCGGACGTGAAAGGACATTTGGAGATGTGGACGCAGGACGCAGGATATCAGGGGATAGAATCCGGCGGAGGATGTGGCAGTGGCACTGGATGTGGATGTCCAAAAAAGCGACGAAAGCCTCCGCGAAAGGCCAAAACTGGGTGTGTGTGGGTGTGTAGTGTGTGTGTGAGTGTGTGTGTGTGTGTGTGTGTGCGGGGAAAGATGACAACATTTGAGCCAAACAGACAAAGTTGCGGAAGGGGTGAGAGGTCGCCGTCTGACCCACACACATGAGTGAGCGAACAAGCAAACAAACAAATAAAACGGTTGCCATGAGTGAGAATGCACTGTTCAAAAATGATTACTAACATTGCTAAGAAGCTGCCAAAGCTTGGAAGAAATCTGATAAAAGATTTAAAGTCAAAAATGATTTTCTAATTATTTTAATTTATTCGTTTCTTTTAAATGCAAAATAAACAAGAAAGAAAGCAAACTTCGGCAAGCCGAAGTTCATATACCCTTGCAGCTATCGCAAGAATTAAATATTTTTGAAAACATTAAAATTATGATTTACTTGCGTATAAGTTTAAAAACATTGAAGCTATGACGATTTGCAGCTTAATTATTTGATTGTTCTTTTATATATTTTTATTATTTGTATGGGAGCTATATGATATAGTCGTCCGATTTTGATGAAATTTAAACCATAATTCTGAAATATTTAACCATTGCTATATGTCGAAGAACTAAAAAAAAAATTATAAAACAGCAAAGTTATAATTTTTTTTCAATTATTTTTCCGATTGTTCCTATGGGAGCTATATGCTATAGTCGTCCGATCCGGCTCGTTCCGACTTATATACTACCTGCAATAGAAAGACAACTTTTGGGAAAGTTTCATGCAGATAGCTTTAAAACTGAGAGACTAGTTTGCATATAAACGGACGGACAGACGGACAGACGGACGGACAGACGGACAGACGGACGGACAGACGGACATGGCTAGATCGACTCCACTAGTGATGCTGATCAAGAATATATATACTTTATAGGGTCGGAAACGTCTCCTTCACTGCGTTGCAAACTTCTGACTGAAATTATAATACCCTCTGCAAGGGTATAAAAATAAAGATAACATTAAATATTTTAATTGTAGTTACAACTTGTGGCGTAAAAAAGGATGTTATTGGCATGCAATTTAAATTCTAAATCTGATAATGAATTTTTCATTTGTATTTTCTCAATTATTACAAAACTAATGTTTAAAAAAGGCAGATTTCTTTATAGTTCATGTTGTTACTTTTCCATTAAGTTACAAGTACACATAGGTGAAAATTCAAATAATACATTATGGTTTTATTAATCGAAACAAAATAAGAAGAAAAATTTAGTTTGTATTTAGAAGTCCAATTAATTTCTTGTAGACAAGTTTTAAAACTTTATGTGTGTAAGTGTTTTCCAATATTTATTATTATCTAATTTTATTTCTCAGTGCTCGAGGCTGTGACCATGGAGGTGACCAAACGTACACATGAGGGGGGAATAAATAGTGGGGGGATGGGGCAATGCCGGCGGGGAGATCAGCGGGAAAAAATGTTGCATATTAAAACGCCAAATAGAAGAGTGCAACAGCGACAACGACAACGGCGACGGCGACGGTTGCAGCTTAGAGAATGCAGAAAATGGGTGGTCAAGGCGGGGGGCGTGGCACATGGGTTAGCCCTTTGCTGATTCT